GTAGTGTATGTGTGTTTGATGGAAAGGGGGGGGGGATGGGGTTGAAACAAAAGCACTAAGAGAAAATGGTGTTTCTTGCCTTGTCTCATCTGACCCCCTCCCCTCCCCTTCCCTCCTTTTCCACAACATTTACACTTGCGGGAGGAAAAAAAAGAAAAGTTTTGTCATTTCTTGATGTGTCCTTTTATGCACGAGTCATCATGAGATTCGTAACACCATTGCCTTTATAAACGAACAAGACAGTTTTCACCCTGTGAGAGATTAATAAAGATTGTCATTGTCAATGGCATTGTCATTGTTAATGCCGTTGTCACGTGATTATGAAGACAGCATGGAGATGAGATTCTGTAATTATCCAGCTCAAAAACAAGGTCAACAACACCTTCCATAGAGTGGGTGGTTGGAGGAGGACGCCACTGGTAGGTCCTACTTCTTTACTTTTTCTCTCGGGTTTTTTTTTGGGGGGGGGTCTGTCTGTCCTACTCTGTCCCAACGCTAAATGACCATCATTGTGTCGATGTGCTTCTCTTTACTCAAACTAGCCTTCCACAGAGTCACACTCAAAATCGTCATAACATTAGAAAAACATTACTGCTTACTACAGCACTCATTTGCAATATTGTCCAAAAACTGTGCCAAAACTGGAGGACCCGAAGCTACGACACGTTGTACTTGGTGCAGAGCGGTTTTGGGGGTGCTCCGAAGCGTGAAGTCGCTATTCGTGCTCTTCGAATATTGTATTATGCTAGTGTTTGCTAGCGTTTTGGGGTTTTTTTGTTTAAGTCAAAATTATTCCAGTACTCTTGTGTCTCCTACTAATTCGAAACGACGGTTGTTTTAAAATTTCTCCAGGGTTGTACGCCATCTAGGCGTTGTTGGTCTAGTGGTTCGGCTCTCGGACTTGCAACTGTAAGGTCGTGGGTTTGAATCCCGTCAGAGGCCCGACGTTGTGTCCTTTGGAAAGGCACTTTACATGTATTTTCCTCACTTCACGCAGGTAGGAATTTGTATCCAGGAATAGAAAGATCGTGTCAGTTTGTTAGTGTTTGAGCGCTTAATCAGCTGCTTGCACTGTATGCTTCCTGGGAAGCTGAGAATGTTTTTGAGTATTCTATGGTCTGCTGGGGTAATGATTTACGCGCCATACAAATGCTATTTATTATTATTGTTATGTTCTGGAGATGGACGTTGATTCAGGAGGCCCGAGTCTTTGATCTCCACAAAAGCAAGCCTTATTGATCGTAAAGGTTCACTCAAAGCTTCCATTTCCCTACAATAGGTAGATCTAGCTTAGCTTACTTTAAAGTACACAAACTGTCTTGGGTGCAGACTTAGCTCAGTTGGTACCATTGTCTTCGGAGCTGATGGTCCCTACTCGAAATCCTAAAGGGGCGTTCTGAACTTGGATTACACTAGGGAATTTCCAAGGCTCTACGCCCATTTGGTTCAGTCCTATCGGAGATGGTCGTTACATTCAGAGGCCCCCACCTCTTAAATAGCCTTCAGTGTTCAGTGTTTAAATAGGCGTTGTACACATACAATGAAAGACCAATGTTGTGTTGTCGTCCTGTCGCCTTATCGTGAAGTCATGATGCACTCGATAAGACCCTCAGAGTCCGGTCTCGATTCTAGCTAATCTTCGTGGTACTTAAATCAGGGGGCCAGTCTTACGTCACCATCGCGATAGTCAAGTTTTAATAATACAGTCAAGGGCAGATGGCTCTTCCTTGTTGCCGACAAGAGACCGGATAGAGTAGGCAGACATGTGTTTGTGAGTGCTTGTCTTCTTCTTCTTTTCTACTTTTCATTTCTTTTGGGAGGGGGTGCTTTTTTTCTTCCTTTTTTTCCTTCTTTTTTCCTTCTTTTTGTTTGTTTTTTTGGGGGGGGGCGGTGGCTTTTTTTCTTCTTGTTTTTTTTCTTCTTTTTTTTCTTTTTTTCCCCCTGTTTTTTTTGAAGGGGGTGTTGCGTTTTTTAACAGAGAGATGATAATTGTCTGCCTCTGTATGTGTGTGTGTGTGTGTGTGTGTGTGTGTGTGTGTGTGTGTGTGTGTGTGTGTTTATTTGTGTACCTGTGTTTTAGAACATCACAGTTCTTCTTGTAGCTACAACTTTTTTTTGCTGAAGGTGAAGGTGGTAGTGATGTCGTCATGTTCGTTAGTGTTGGTGTTGTTGATAAAGTAGTGTTGTTGATTCTCTGCTTCTGGTGAATATTTGGTGTGGCACTCGTGCAAATGCTGTTGTTTATCTCAACTGTCACTGCAATGTCTGGAACTGACGGATGACTGGACGGGCAAAGAAAAGGACAGAGACGTAGACAGACAGACAGACAGACAGACAGAGAGAAGGAGAAAGAGAGGTTTATGGGAGAGAGAAAAGCATTAACGGTCGTTGAACCGACAAAAACTGCACATAATGGATAATGGTTGGATACATTAAGAGAGAGAGACAGAGACAGAGACACACACACACACAGAGAGAGAGAGAGAGAGAGAGAGAGAGAGAGAGAGAGAGAGAGAGAGAA